CTGAATCTGATTAGTTGTTCTATGTTAATGAAATAACGTTTTGATAATTTAGTTGATTGTGGCTAGCAGAAGAATCCACGATGCGCATTCCGTCCTATTTGGGACTCGTCAGCTGGATGTACCTCCACCCCAGTGCGGAGTGATGTTGTTCCCACTGAGACTCCAACCTCATACCCATCGTTTCAAACGCCAAGGCGTTATCCACTATGCTACGGAGGAACGATAGCCACTTCTTGTACAACGGGTAGTAGTTATTACTATTAATTGACATACTTGTTATTCTCCGTTGTTTATTGTGTTGGATCGAATTGTTCGACTTCTATTGGCAAGCAACCAACCAAATTATCATAATTAACATTCAGGCAATATCGAGGCATCCGCATAGGTGCCCATATACCAATAGAGGTCGAACAATTCGATCCAACACAATAAACAACGGAGAATAACAAGTATGTAAAAAGAACTTTTTGTTAAGTAAATAGACAAAAGATTCCTTAAGTGAATCACTTTATGCAAATGATAATAACCTGAAATAATTCATCTTCAGCTACTTCTCATGGTTCACAACCTTCAAAGTCAATGTAAGTAATCAAAGCTACGTTCACTCAAGACAAGAAAGAAATAATAATATCAAAAAAAGTCACTGAATCTTAATATGCCTAAACTGTTAAATGTGTACCCCATTTGACTTTGAATAGAAACTCAAGTAAATTCGTGTATGTATGTATGTATGTATGTATGTATGTATGTATGTATGTATGTATGTATGTATGTATGTATGTATGTATGTATGTATGTATGTATGTATGTATGTATGTATGTATGTATGTATGTATGTATGTATGTATGTATGTATGTATGTATGTATGTATGTATGTATGTATGTATGTATGTATGTATGTATGTATGTATGTATGTATGTATGTATGTATGTATGTATGTATGTATGTATGTATGTATGTATGTATGTATGTATGTATGTATGTATGTATGTATGTATGTATGTATGTATGTATGTATGTATGTATGTATGTATGTATGTATGTATGTATGTATGTATGTATGTATGTATGTATGTATGTATGTATGTATGTATGTATGTATGTATGTATGTATGTATGTATGTATGTATGTATGTATGTATGTATGTATGTATGTATGTATGTATGTATGTATGTATGTATGTATGTATGTATGTATGTATGTATGTATGTATGTATGTATGTATGTATGTATGTATGTATGTATGTATGTATGTATGTATGTATGTATGTATGTATGTATGTATGTATGTATGTATGTATGTATGTATGTATGTATGTATGTATGTATGTATGTATGTATGTATGTAGTATGTATGTATGTATGTATGTATGTATGTATGTATGTATGTATGTATGTATGTATATGTATGTATGTATGTATGTATGTATGTATGTATGTATGTATGTATGTATGTATGTATGTATGTATGTATGTATGTATGTATGTATGTATGTATGTATGTATGTATGTATGTATGTATGTATGTATGTATGTATGTATGTATGTATGTATGTATGTATGTATGTATGTATGTATGTATGTATGTATGTATGTATGTATGTATGTATGTATGTATGTATGTATGTATGTATGTATGTATGTATGTATGTATGTATGTATGTATGTATGTATGTATGTATGTATGTATGTATGTATGTATGTATGTATGTATGTATGTATGTATGTATGTATGTATGTATGTATGTATGTATGTATGTATGTATGTATGTATGTATGTATGTATGTATGTATGTATGTATGTATGTATGTATGTATGTATGTATGTATGTATGTATGTATGTATGTATGTATGTATGTATGTATGTATGTATGTATGTATGTATGTATGTATGTATGTATGTATGTATGTATGTATGTATGTATGTATGTATGTATGTATGTATGTATGTATGTATGTATGTATGTATGTATGTATGTATGTATGTATGTATGTATGTATGTATGTATGTATGTATGTATGTATGTATGTATGTATGTATGTATGTATGTATGTATGTATGTATGTATGTATGTATGTATGTATGTATGTATGTATGTATGTATGTATGTATGTATGTATGTATGTATGTATGTATGTATGTATGTATGTATGTATGTATGTATGTATGTATGTATGTATGTGTAAATTAATCCTTTACAACATTTCGAATTGTGTTATGATAAACATTTAAGTAATGTTAAGGATATTAGTAATAGTAATACTTTTTTCGTTATACAAGAGGTGTGTTAAATAATTATTATCATTATTTGTCCCTTGAGTTCCTAGTGGAACATAGACCTTCAGGTAGCACGCCTCTATTGAAATCTTTTCAACCCGGCTACATGACAGCCCACAAGATCTCATTTCTTCCTCACACACAATCTCCTCCATGTCACCTTCACCTCAGACGCCCAACTCAACGTTTCCCATTTGCCTTCCCCTCGAGGGTCTGGTCTGACACGTGATGTCCCCGAATGGTCTTCTCAGTGTATGCCCAATGCATTTCCACTTCCCCATTTCTGTATATCTTTTGGGTAATAGGTTCTAGCTTCGTTGGCTCGATATGACAATAAAAAATCTATTGATTGAAGACTTCTATGTGATATGACATACATTATCGTCATTTCAACATTTTTATATTCCTCTCTACTCCATTTTACCGCTTTTCATCGATTTTTCAATTATTTCTTCATCTATCTTCTTATTATTATTGGTACTGATGATGAAATGTGGGAAGTTGTACTGATAGACAGTAATTAATCCCTGGGATCCTATATTTATATTGATTAATTCAATTGGAAAACTCTTAATTCATATAAGATATATCTGATAGACATTAAACAGTGATATCTAACTATCAACTGGTTATCCATAGGAGAAATGTGAAAAGAAATAAACTAAATGAAAGTGATCATGGATGGAGTAAACAACACTGACTCACTTTGCAAAAAACTCACCCACCTACTCACTCCACAACCCACTCACTCACTCACTCACTCTGTAACTCATTCAACCAATGAATGACTCACTCACTCTGCAACTTATTCACTCATTCACTGCCACTCACTCACTCGCTCACTCACTCACTCACTCACTCACTCACTCACTCACCGACTCACTCACTCACTCACTCACTCACTCACTCACTCACTCACTCACTTACTCACTCACTCACCGACTCACTCACTCACTCACTTACTCACTCCACTCACTCACTCACTCACTCACTTACTCACTCACTCACTCACTCACCGACTCACTCACTCTACAACCAACTCACTTACTAATTCATCAAGAACACACACTTTGCTCAGGCATTAATTCCATTAGAAATACTACTAAAGAAATAAAATTATCCATAATAGAATTAGTTCAAATAAAACTATTATGTATATGGATTATAGTATGCTTATTTAAAGAATGTTGAACACATTGAATAGAAGAAAAAACCTCATTGATCCAATCATATTACAGTATAAAACAAAATCAAATTTTTACAGTGAAAAATAATATCACTAATGAAAACAATAACATTTATATATCCTGTTATAAGCATAATTTGAATATTTGTGTACTAATACTACTACTATTTTACTGTTATTATTACTATCATTAGTACTGATATTCATAGAGCGAACGATATACATTTCCCCAGACACCAGAACACGCTAAAAATCAGATCGACTTCATCTCAATGTGAAGAAAATGAAGACACAGTCAACCCAATAGATACAAGATTAGATCAGGAAGGTTTATACCATACACTATCTAGTGTAAACGAATCTTGAAAATCAAGTTGAAAACCTTCAAAGAAGTTGGGTGATGATAGACCACAGTTTATATACAACACCGAGAACAGAAACTGTAGGACAAAACTACAAAGGACATCTTCACGTCAATCAGACATCACGAAAAAAAAGTGGGAGATATAAAGCAACATCCTTGAGGAAACCTGAGTAGAAGAACGCTGGAACTCTTTGAAAGAGATATGGAAGGAAACTTGCATAACTGTATTGGAAAGAAGGAAGAAAGAAGACACGGAGTGGATCTCAACGGATACATGGAAGCTGAAAGAGCACGAAGAGGAAGATGGTAAGGCAGTGCAGTGCATGGATGAACAACAAAAAGAGGAACTGAATACAACATCTAAAACACTACACTGAACAAAGAAGTGAAGAAGGAAGCGGGCAAAAGACAAAAGACACTTCTACGACACACTGTCAAGTGAAGCAGAACAGGCTGTAGGTAAGAGAAACAGACACCGGACAACATTATATCGAATAACTAGATTACTATCTGAGAAGAAATCAATACACATAAGGCCAATGAAAGATGCTGAAGGAAATGTAGTTATCGCCAAAGAGGAGAAACAAAGGAAACGATGGTCGACCACCACCTGCAACTCATTCAGAAATATCACCAGCCGACCAGCCATAGAACTATCAGTGAACACAACCTCTCTGACTAAAACAGAAATGAAGCCCTGAACGCCATAAAGTTACCAAATTCCATGTTATGACTATAAGGTCAAGTATATAGTCGGTCGGTGTCAGTTAGAATAGCACAACATAGGAATTTAGCTAAATATACAATCGCAGACCCGAATAATAAGATGAAAAATCTAGAAAAACGGTGAGATAAAACCACTGTACTTGAATCGAATATAATTAGGTGAAGAGACAGGGATTGATTACTGAATTTAGCTTAGTATCTATTGAAGAGTGATGAACTGTGATGTCGATCGAATTGGATATAAGCCAGATTGTTTACCATTGACACTGGTTGAGCTATATCAGAAACTCAAAGAAGTCTGAAACGCTGGACAATTAAGATTCTAAACCAATAATCTAAATATCAACTGTCCACTGTCGCCAGGATCTGAAAACTCAAGGTTCGATCTCATACAAATTCGTGAGTAAGTATTACTGATAAATGTTAATAAATTACAACATACCTGCATTACATCTGGAACAATCTTGTTTTTTCTATCATTATCAAAACTATTTTCAACTGGTTCACTAGAAAAGTTATTAAGAGAGATGAATAGAAGTTGAAGAGACATAAGTTTAAGGAATAACATATCAGTCTAGTAATAGTATACGCCAAAGTGCATAACTCTATAAAGATATGGTTCCCTTTCTATTATGTATAGCTGAGTTGATTTAAGGTGATCTAAACATTTCACACTGATTAGGATTATATTTTCTCTTAGGGGGGGAGGGGGTTCCAGTAAAACTTTTGGTTCATGATAATTCTTTTGAATACGATCTTTGATGAATTCAATATGCATTCTAGATTCAAGGAGTAATAGGTTGAACTTCCACGAACCTGTTGAATAACTTCAACTACATCGGTTATAAATGAGAAGTGATGAAGTCTGTTTATCTACTAACAATTCAGAGGAGACACCAACTTGAGGTGTATCATCATTTAATCATAGACATGATCAACTTGTCTTACCATGCTATTGGTAAATGGCTTATACAATTACCTACCTAGACCTTTGCATAGAATTTTTAAATGTCATATCTTTCTTTACTAACGTCTCCTTACTGGAAACTACGGATTATATATTTGTGAACAGTTATTGGAATGGAAATTAGACACCGACAGTCCTATTATGAATTTTAAAGAACTATTGTTGAAACATACAATGAATGTCCACTTCATCTTCAACAGTAATCTGTAAAGACAATTTGATGGAGTGACTATAGGATAGGTGATGACAGTGGGAAATAAGACTCTTTATCCGCCTACAATTCCAGGGAGGTGTTACACGTGATATTCTATCACAACGTCTACCCATAGGAGTCTATAGGACGTTTATTTCAGGTCAGCTTTGTACATTGTTGAGTAATCGGTCAATGCTCATGTTCCTATGGAACTAGTTACACAGAGCCTACAACTAAGCAGCTGCATCTCACAACACGAGAGCATTTACCAACTTCATTCGAAAAGGGAAAATGTTCAATCATAGCGTATCTAGTCGACACAGGGCACCACATCAATATCAATAAAGCCTCGAACGTCATTCATCGTATTCTAAAAATGATACCACATGTAGGTCACTAACATTTGCTCATCATCATCACCTTGTCGCCATAAGGTTGATCAAACTTTAACTCTATATTCAGAAAGAACATGTCCAAGACTTACTTCTCTCTTGATCTTCGATAAACTGAAGGCCACTCTTGCCTTATTATTATTATTAACATTTCATTATTATTATTAGTCCCTTGGGTTCCTAGTGGAACATACCCCCTCAGTAGCACGTCTCCAGTGACCTCTGTTCTCTGACATCTTTTGAACCTGGTCCCACGACAGCCCACAACCTCTCATTTCCTCCTCGCACGACCTCCTCCATGTCACCCTCACCTAGGACGTCCAACTCGTCGCTTCCCATGGAGATTCCACTCGAGCAACTGGCCTGACGCGTGATGTCCTCAGTCGGCCTTCTCAGTGCATGCCCAATCCATCTACACTTCCTCCCACTGCATATTTGTTGCGTGATCGGTTCTTGGTTGGTTCGTTCCCAGAGCTCATTGTTGCTTATTATTTCTGGCAATCCATCTGATCTTCAGTAGCGAGCGTAAGCAGTTGTTAATGAATGTCTGTAGTTTATTGGAAATGCCTTTCGTAACGCGCCAAGTCTCTTAGCGATACAGAAGCACTGACTTGACGTTGGTGTTGAAAATCCGTATCTTGTTCCGCATGCTGAGTGCAGAAGATCTCCACACTGGTTTCAGGCTAATGAACGCCTGTCTTGCTTTTCCGATCCTGGCTGGCTTTGACATCCTCGTCTGTCCCGCCTGTAGTTGAAACAGTGCTGCATGACTAGATAGGTGAAGGAGGTTACTTCCTTTAAGTTTCTCCCGTTGACGGTGATTGGAGTTTGTTGTTGTTGGTGGTGGTGGTGGTGCGGTACCTTCATCACCTCTGTCTTTTCTATATTCACCTGAAGTCCCGTCTTCGCTGCCCTGCCTCTTCTACTAACTTGTTAGTTTTCGCCTGTACATCTTCAAGTTTATGTGACATCAGGCACAAGTCATCGTCGGCGAAATCCAGATCTTCTAGGTTCTTTTCCGCAGTCCAGTGTATCCCCCTCTTCTCGCTGCCCACTGTTTGCTGTATGATCCAGTCCACCACAATCAGGAATATCATGGGGGATAGTAGGCAACCTTGTTTCACTCCTGTCTTCACTTCACTTCAAAAGCATCAGTGAGCTTCCCATTGTGAATTACTTGGCATGTGGCATCTTCATATAGTTATTGAATGAGGCGGATAAAGGTTTGCGGTACTCACTCTTGCCTTACTTATTCATTATCTTTCTGTTCACTATCTTATCCTTCATCAGTATGTATATATCATCTTTACAATCCCTAGTTCTTACTCCTCTTTTCAAAATAGATCTGCCCTAACATCGATTGATTTCACACTGTACAAATCGCATTTCATAATTGTAGAATCTTATGCAAGAATTTATTGAAACGACTATTCTTCTTCTTAGGCAAAACAGTGACTCAAAAACAAGATAAAATTACACTTACTAAGCTCTGAATCATTTTTTTTTGACGGTAGTTATTATGAAAACGATCCAAACCGAAAGAGAATATGACTTCAGTTTATAATAGTGAACAATTACCTCACTATACTACTAAGACAAAGGCACCACTACAACTTGCCCCACTTCACAGTAGTATACAAAGAAGAAGTGGGTAGAAAGGACTGATAACAAAGTAAACAAAAGTGTATAGGAAGACAAGGAATTCAAGAATATAGATCGTATAAAACATTCATCAAAATAGTGAATACATCATCGCCAATGTGACCGATCATTGATTCCTATTATGTCACGAATCCCGAGGTCAGGTAATGCACACCTCCCTACACAGCTAACACTAACAGTTAAGAACTTCCTGCTTTGGTGCCAAATGTTGGTTTGGTCACTTAGAACCCTCTTCCTACCTTATACAACTTCCTCTAGCATGTCGCATCAAGATACGTGGTCACTTAGTATGTACAGCAAATGGTCAATCCACATCAGTCGATTTACAATTGACTTGTCTTCTTAGCCATCTGCTAACTACACCATTTCTACCATAATGATCCCATCAAATGTGAACAATCTTACCAGAAACTGATATAAACTGTAACTCCTCGAAAAGAGGCTTCAAAGATGGTCACGGGATGTTACACCTTAATACTCAATGTGATTTGACTAAGACATTAATGATGGAACAGTGTATCAGAATGTGTTTACTAGTGATAGCTAATTCCAAGTATTTCATCATATAAGATGCTTGTCGGATGATATCACCACCCACCACCTAGAAAATATTCAATGGATTGACTTGTAATACAGTTCTCAAAAGGTGATCAATGTTATACAGGTAACTTCGACTGTGACCTTTATTTTCTAATGATAAATACATGAAAAATGATAATTACTTAGGTGACTGATATAGAAGCTATTACTACTGGACTTAGAAGAGATGAAAGAGTATAACAATCCATTTGAAATGCAGTTCCCAAGTGTGTCGTAGTGTCACAAGGTAACGCAGAAGTCAGGTGTCCCTTGGGTTCCTAGTGGAACAAAGAGGGCCCCAGAAGCATGTCTCCACTCCACTCTGTTCTCTACAATCTATTGAAGCTGGCTCCACGACAGCCCAGAAGCTCACATTTCTTCCTCACATGATCTCCTCAATGTCAACCTCGACATTTCCCATCTAGGTTGAGTTCTAGGGAGGGGAAATAAGTCAGTTGATGAGATTGTGAACCTTTATTGACTAAAACGGCTGTCTAGGATATGTGATACATATGTCTAACCACCAACTGCAGGTCTTACAATATTGACCGAAGTAGGTTCGGGCGGGAAAATGATTAGAGGCGGCCAGATTATAAAATGACATCAATGCATAAAGTCCATGACTGTTGGTTTGAGTCATGAAGGGCGATGCAGATTAGCCTTTCAGGGTCTGCATGACAGGAGAAACTAGTGGTTGGAGACTCTAGGTGATCAGATGGCTAAAAATCGATGTCAGTGGCGCCGATGTATACACACATCATCACCCATCTTCGTTATATTTAATCTCATCATTTTCTTAATCTTCCTTGCTCTCTTTTACTAATTTCTACTTCTAATTCCTTTGGCTAAATGTCTTTACTTCTTCATCTACTATTCTATCGCTCCGTTACTTGATGTGTTCATATGAGGTTAGGCAACTAGGACCGTTACGCGGTAGTAACGCCAGATCGAAAAGTGGTTAGAAGTCAAAAGTGTCTTTTGTATGTTAACTTACTCTAAAATCTGCTCCGCTTCATAAGAGACATCGTCATCAACTTCTGAATGATCATTATCATCAGCAGTTTTGTTAGACTGATCATCTGAATAAAAAAAACGAGCAGAGAAAGAAGGAAATATTGAAATTATATAAAAATAAGTATAAATGTATGCATTATTAGTTACACTACTTACAAGTAACATGTCTATAATAACAAATATTTTAACTTGCGGAGGTGAAAATTTGAGGATCCTGTTAAAATTGGCCAGGCATGATGATTAAATTAACATCAACATGTATATAGCACAAATTATACAGACTTTAACGCTCTAAATCGATAAATAGTGTCACAACACATACACATAAACTAAATTTGGGAATATCACATCCATCTTGAAAGGCAATAAGACAAAAGACCGTCAAAATAATTAAAAACTGAAACTACAGGTAAAATCGAGTGATACACGCAGAAGCCCACACATGAATACAGACAAATCCATTCAGTTACAATACAAGTAACAACATCATAACCACGCCCATCATCATGAATATCAACATAGGATGAGGCATTACTGTGTAACGATCCAACTTGCAACACCTCATATCACTACATCAAGTAAAAAGGTAGTGAGGCGCAAGATCAAGATAAGAGAATGCAGTCAAAAGAAATATAAAGTACTCAAAGGGAGAAAGGAAGAATGACAAAATAGTGAGATTCGGTATAGTGTCATTAAGATGAGGATAATGTGTGTCTGTGCATACATCTGCACCACTGACATCCGTTCTCAGCCACGTGATCACCTAGAGTCAGTCTCCAGCCACTGCTTCCTCTTCTCACACACACACACACACACACACACACACACACACACCAACCATCTAGTCTGCAGAGCCTCACATGGCTCAAACAAACAGTCAAGCACTTCATACAGTGGTGACATGTTTTAGTCTGGCCACCTCCAGCCCTTTTCCTAGCCTGCACCTACTTCAGCCAACATCCTGTGACGAAATAATCGGTGACTAGGCATACATACGTAACACATGTGGGCGCCAATCATCTCAGTCGATAAAGGTTCACAACCTCGTCAACTGATTCACCTCTACTCCGCACCCCTAAAACTCTACACCTGACGTCTGCATTACTCATGTGGTCACACCACACAATACGGTCCCCCATACACTACGAAGGCAAAGGTGGTCAAACACCTCAAGTCTTCTCATATCTTCCACCTTCAATGGCCATGTTTAATAGTCAGCAATACAGTAGAACACACCGGACTACTGTGCACTACGCGCGACACTTAGTAGGTAATCGCATATCACGGAGGCGCCAAACGTCATGCATATTGCCAAAAGCCAACCGAGCCTTTTCTATTCGTGTAGAAATTTCATCGGCCACGGAGCCACCAATGCAAGGCTCATCCTACTTCCCAGGTAAGTGAACCGGTCAACACACTCACTCTCTTTTGTTAGCCACGGTGGAGCGCACCTGAAGACCATTCCTAAAGCAACAATTTGCATTTCCGTGGTCAGAACCACATCCCAAACACTCTCAAATTCACAACCAGTGTTCACAAGACTCTGCATCTTGTCAGCGTCTTCACCTAACACCACTATATCATATCCACATTATAGGTCTAACGAAAATTCTCCACCCATTACATCAACCTCTGTCTAGTCATGTGACGAGAGGGAGACCTCCATAAGAATATCTATGATAAAATTGAACAGGAATGAAGACAGTGTGCATCCTTCACGGACACCACTCGACGAGTACAGCTCCCCCCAGATATCTCCCCACAGGCTCTAACACACCTATAACTGTTCGAGTAGATAGTCTTTAATAAGGTGATGTACTTACTCGGCACGCCTTTCACTGAGAGACATTGCCATAAGACTTCTCGATCAACGGAGTCGAATACCGCCTTCAGGTTAAGAAATACAGCTAAGAAACTCAATAAGCCTAAACTGTTTACATATACTAGTATCAGAATGTTGTAGTTAACAAGCAGGACTATGAATATTCTCAAACGTTTTGTGATGGCATAAATTATAATGATAATAATAATAGTAGTAAGAATACTAACAATAACATTCATCAAGTTGAAAGTGCTCATTATAACCAACTATAAACAATCGAAAGGTTTTTTTTTATAAAATTCTTAACTTATGATGCATAATAGTTATCATATGCCTTTTAGTCATACATAGTACATGAAGAAAAATCAATAAATGATAGTAAATTTGTCTCTTTATCTCCATTTTATACTTCAAAGTACAATACAATTGATTTGATTGTACTTCACTATAGTATGGCATTAGTCTATCTTTCTTTATTGTAACACTTTGAAAAAGATTAAATATTTATTGATAAGTAGCGAACTAAATTACAAATCAACATTACATATCATTAACTGCTATGCTAGGAGATTTTGAAATTCAACTTTAGTTTCGCTTTACTGTGTGGTCAAGAAAAATCCTTATTGGATAATTTTGTCCTACAGTTGACCAATCAGAATAAGCTATTTATTTTTTGATCTGATGATTTTATATATTCATATGTGAATTGTTGATATAAATGATGTTTGTTTGTCGAATAAATTATCTTCCTTACAATCAAAGATAGGTTTTTACTTTGTGATTTTTATAGCTCAGTGAAGTATCATGTCTGAGGGAGGATAGTCTCTATTCCTTTCTAGTGTTTCATCATCTTATTATGTTCATTCACTCGGTCACTTCACTTACACACAGTGATATGAGAGGAGTTGGTCAGTTACATCTAAGCCACAATTCAATAGCTTGCAATTAGCAATTAATACTCATTTATATCACGAAAATATGTCCAGAATCTCAAGAACAAGTTGATAAAACAATTGGTTTACAAAACAACAATAAATTATCTTTTATATCAATGTTTATCAACTGTCTAATAGTAAAATAAAGGGGGGAATTCACCAAATGTGGCTCATTGGCTTAGGAACTTGACATTTAGGCAGTAGGCTCTTAGTTCGAACTCCTGCGCGCGGAGTTCAACATGGGTGGATGGTTAGTATTATAAGCTTCCAGGTAGAAAGGTGTGGCTCATAGCTTAGTACATACAAATATACCAAACATGACAAATTATTATTAATATTGGGGATTAACGTTTCTCCAATCAATTAAACAGGATAACTAACGATATACGACTAGGTCATGACAACAATTAACTGAAGTTAGTACAGATGAATACCAAACAAATAGTGTACAGGGAAATAAAATAGACAATTCATCGAAGAAAACTCTTCTTCTTCTTCTTCGATGAACCGTTCATTTTTCAAAGCTGTACGTAATCGTATTTATGTGTATAACACAAGCATATAACAGCCAACTTACGCTATAGGTGGCGCCGCCGTCACATCCGAATGTCTCTTAAGTGTCGCGTGTAGTGCACAGCAGTCCGGTGTGTTCTACTGTATTGCTGACTATTAAACATGGCGATTGAAAGTGGGAGATATGAGAAGACTTGAGGTGTTTGACCACCTTCGTGTTCGTAGTGTATGGGGGCTGTATTCTGTGGTGTCACCACATGAGTAATGCAGACGTCAGGTGTAAAGTTTTAGGGGTGCGGAGTAGAGGTGAATCAGTTGACGAGGTTGTGAACTTTTATCGACTGAGATAGTTGGCGCCCACATGTGTTACGTATGTATGCCTAGTCACCGATTATTTCGTCACAGGATGTTGGCTGAAGTAGGTGCAGGCTAGGAAAAGGGCTGGAGGTGGTCACACTAAAACATGTCACCACTGTATGAAGTGTTTGACTGTTTGTTTGAGCCATGTGAGGCTCTGCAGACTAGGTGGTTGATGTCCGTGTGACAAGAGGAAGCAGTGGCTGGAGACTGACTGTAGGTGATCACGTGGCTGAGAACCGATGTCAGTGGTGCAGATGTATGCACAGACACACATTATCCTCATCTTAATGACACTATACCGAATCTCATTATTTTATCATTCTTCCTTTCTCCCTTTGAGTACTTTATATTTCTTTTGACTGCATTCTCTTATCTTGATCTTGCGCCTCACTACCTTTTTACTTGATGTAGTGATATGAGGTGTTGCAAGTTGGATCGTTACGCAGTAATGCCTGGTCCTAAGTTGATCTGGATGGATGGATATTATCAGATAGTGTATAATTACACCATTAAGGCAGTTGGTGCTAAAGAGAACCGAAATCAGGAATGGAAAGTAGCTGGGTAGTAAATCTGTTGGATAGTCAAATGACGAGGAAGGCAGGCAGTTTGATAAAGTGGAAATTGTTGATAGATGAGAAATCCTAATGATGAGTGTCCACTTGATAGATAGATACATATGAAGAAGGTGAAGAATGAGACAAAGGTGATAGTGAAGGTGATAATAATGAACTAACTAATTATGATAGAATCGAAAAGTTTGCGAAACTGTTAAGATCATAGTAAGATACAAGACTGAACGTACTTCTTTTGCATGTAGAGATCAGGTTTAAATTAATGAATTGCCAGTGCTTTCGCTGTGCACAATTGTTGAAGGTGTACTCCTTTAAAACTAGTTCATTTGACACAATAAATAACACTGAAGGAGGATTCTGGTCGAGCTGTATATGTTCAGAGTTGACCAAATGTTTAAGAATTCAACTGTTAACTGATTTACATTCTCTCCTCGATAAATATGCAGCATAGTGCTCTGAGATACGTTTGGAAAGTGTGAGCCTTGTACTCCACAGGAGCAAGTACATTTGTAGACATTTGTAGACCCAAAGCGGCAACTTGTCCTTCACTCATTCCGGAAGCAACTGCTGACTAGAGAAACTGATCTGTAGTTTTACAGAGGAGAATATCGTCTTCAGTGATTTGGATAGCTGATTTTTCAGAATCTTTGTTGCCGTATTACCTTTAAAACTGAAGCTGTGAGTACTTGCTGCATATTCTGTTTTAGTTTCAAGTTCTTCTCAATATATCTGGGTGGGTATCCATTTTGTATATGAATCTCCCGTAGTTTGTTTATTTCAATGTTCAATTCGACAGTATCACTCGTGTAAACCAATCACTCCCCATCCCATTACAGTCCCTAACAAAATCTTAACCATGAATG